TACAGCATACCCAACACCTGTCAGATACGTGACTAAGTTGACCCGACGAACGTGGATCTATCCCTGAGGCCAGTCCATCAGTGACTGGGGGGCAGAGAACGTCCAGCCGTTGAGGGTTTTGCCAAGTGCGACTCTTTCCTCGAAATCTCCTCCTGTGATACGACCCCCTTCCTTACCCCTCACCCTGCCTACTGCCTCCCAACTGCGAACCATTTCCCAATTTTCTCCAATAAACTGTCGTCAAGTGGGAAGCAGGGCACATCGCTGGTTGGGGATTTCGGTCGCGTCCGTGCACCCCCCCCCCTCTCTAGGAGGTGGCTTGATACGACCCCTCCCCCTCTTAGTTCCCTCCTCTGATGAGCTGTCGAGCGGCACATAGCGGCACATTATCATAGCACATGTAAAACGGGAAAAACTGCAAAAAGTACACAACCGGAAAAAAGTTTTCTCATCACCGCAAAGGCAAGTACGACACCCCTCCCCACAACGACCTAACACGACCCCCTGTAGGGGAATCCTCATAATGATGTGCTCCCTGGCTGTGGGGAAGGGGGGGGGTATAGAAGGGGTATATAGGGCACGTGAAGACGGAAAAAAATGAAAAAATTCAACAACCGAAAAATTTTCACAAAGACAATCACGACCTCCCTCTTCCTCAGCGACCAAACGTGATCCCTCTTGTTGGGGAATCCCAGTGTACGATCTATCCTGCTAGGAGAGGCCTATAGAGATTGGCAAAGAACTGCTTGGATAAGTTAGAATCGCTATAGTAACAAATCAAACGGCGGAACCAACAGAACAAACCAGGGGGTGGAATGAATGAATGAACTGCGAAGGGGAGGAAAATGAGCAACGGGGCACGTACTGCCGTTGGGGGAAAACTTGTCAAAATACGACCCCTCCAAATGTTCCACCTCTGGTATGACTGCCTTTCTCCACACCCCATCCTAGTAATTATCTCCTCAAATTCTCTCAACCAGGGCACATCATCATTATTTGGGAATTTCGTCGAGTCTATACGACCTCCAACTTCCTGCTCATCGAGCTGGTCTAGCGGGTAGAAAGGGGGGAGGTGGTAAACAGCAAATGTGAAACGGGAAAAGCCACGAAGAAGGCGACTCCCCTCCCTACCATTTTCCAAGATTTTTTCCCAACTCCTACCCGTTTCTCCGAAATTTCCCGAGAATGTTCTTACTTTTCCCCTGAAATTTTGCTGTTGAGAGCGGGGGAGGGGGGGAGGGAAATGGTGAACAGTATGTAGTTTACATGAAACAGGAAAAATCACGAAAAGTCAGCAGCAGAGTCAGCAACCTTCTAGGTAGGGAAATACGACACACTCTCCCAATAGTGAACAAATACGACCCCCCCCTTCACAATGTCCGTGAAACAAGTAAAATCAACTATCAAAAAAAATCTTTCTCTGCCTAAATACGACCCCTACCCCTATTGGGAATCCCTAACAGCGATCGAATTCCCACTCTCTCGGAGCTTCTTCGAAAATTCCTCCAGTTCCCACCTCACTCTCCCAAATACTCGCGTTTCGCGTGCGTACGCGAAGAAATACAGGGTGACCAAAAATTTCGCAATTTTCGAAATACTTGGCATTATAATAATACCATTCAATCAAGATAATCAGCGAACCAAACATTTCGGAAATCTGTAGCAATACAGTGTACAGAGAAATCACAACATATGTTCAAAATTGCCTCCTTTGACCTCAATACATTTGCTCAGTCGCTTTTCGAAGTGTCCAACAATGGTCGCGCATTCTTCTACTGTAATTTCGTCACAAGCACGCAGTAATGCTGCTTTCAAATGATCCACCGTCACGCATTGGATTCCTGAGATTTTCTGCTCCAAGATAGACCAAACGGAGTAATCCATCGGGTTCAGATCAGGCGAGTTGGAAGGATAGACTTTGCCCAAAACCCGGAAACAGCTCTTCGCAGACGCAATGTGATGGCAGAATGTGCTGGAGCCCAGTCTTGCTGAAGCACAAATCCATCTGAACCAAAGTGCTGCGACGCCCATGGCTCCAGTACATCGCGAAGAACGCACTGTTGATAGTTGGCAGCATTGATTTTAACATTACGCTCGATGAAAACAAGAGGAGTTTTTCCGGTGGCACAGACCCCAGCCCACACCATGACTGAGGCTGGAAAGTGCCTACGACCGACGGATTTCGCTGCCGTTGTCTTCTGCTGACCCTTCTTGAGTAGCTGCCGACAATTCTGGTGGTTGTGAGCAGGCTCGATCGTGAAAATTTTTTCGTCGGTGAAGAGCACATTCTTCAAGCGACCAGCACCGACCAGACGACGCATCCTGCGGGCTTTCTGCAATCTTTCTCTCTTCATCGCTTCGCTGAGGAAATGAAGCCGACTTATCTTGTAACTGCGTAGTTTCAGCTTCTTCTCGACGATATTCCTCACACTTTCTCGACCGATTCCAAGTTGCTTCGCCATTTTTCGCATGGAGACAACCGGGTTGCGACGAATTCGACAGCGCACCTTGTTGACAGTCTCCGGGTGGTCACAGTGGTAGGGCGACCGCTCCTAGGACGATCTGCAGTTCCTCCCGTCTGTTTGAAGCGATTTACGATGTGAGACGTCGCTGCTTGAAGCAGTCGACGAACAATGTCGGCCTTCATCCCTGACTTGTGCAACTCTACAACGGTGACGCGCTGATTTTCACGGGACATTGTGAATAGTAATTGAAAGTGATTGGTTGGATGACTCATCATAGTAGATCAAAATTACGCGCGGAATCCAAATAACTGATCGGAGAGAAAAAAGCCATGATGACTACTCAAAAAACGCGCCAACACAAAATTGCCAGAACTTTTTGGTCACCCTGTATAAATATATAGCGTCTCGAAACAGGAAAAACTGAAGAAATTTCAAGAACCGAGAACATTTTCGACTAAAGCAACTAGGACCCGTTCGCCGGGGATAATCAATGTACGACGTGCCCTGGTGAGCAAAGCAAAGAGAAAATCGTCCTGCAAGGAACTGAAGAAAGGAATTTCTCAGACGGTCTCCTTGGACGAACGCAATCCGCGTCGAGGAATGCTTACGCGATGTTCGTGATGGTATGTTTGATCGGAAATACCATGAATGCCGAGCGATCAGTCATCATCTCTCAATGCGGGGCACGTTAACAATGGCTGTTAACTGATTCAGAAGCACCAACAGACGTGACGTCGACGACGACGAAGTCGACCGACGAGAAGCTGCCGGCTTCTCTTGCAGGCAGGCACAGCAGGCACAGCCGATGGAAGAAAGGCGTTACACGACTATAGTCGTCCACGGGGTTCCGCCTGCGTGAAACCGCTAAAGTTTATTTCTTTGAGGGTGGTGAAAAAAACTTCGAGGAATTAGAGGGCAGCCACGTCCGCGAACACACGTTGCCCTTCTGGGGCTACTGCTAGCCTTAGAAGGGCAACTGGCTACACCTTCCCATGGTTTCGGTAGTTTCATCGATTCGTGATTGGCATCGAAATTGTGACATTGTGAATGCAAATACGTTCCACTGGAATGTCGATCGTAGTAGAGAAAGAATAAAATCATCTAATGTCCACTGAATGGCAGAAGAATTCAAAAATTTAATGGTTAATGAAATAACAGCGGCAAATGTCTCCGGATCAGTCTAGCAATCGAAGAAAGTGCGAAAACCATCAAGGAAGCTTTCCCGTTGGTTGTCAATGGAGGTACTACAATAGAGATGTTCAATGTAAATCTCGTTATAAGGAATATAAGGAAAAGGAAGAAAATACTGGAAAAAAATTCGTTTTCCAATGTAGTCCCGGCCCAATAACCTCCCCAAAATAACACTTGTCTTGCCTCGCGGACAACTAATCGTTTGTGCGATACGCCTCGTAAGCAAAATTTTTTTTTCTCGCTTGTTCGCAAAATATCTTAATTGGCGCGCCTTCGAGCTCTTCCGCATCAGAAAAAGCTTTCGGCACGAAAAATTTTGTTAGGGTTGCGGGAACATAGAAGTAATCTTTAATTGCATTCACGTCAATTTTTTTTGAGCATTTCAGTTTTCTTTTCAATTTTCTCGAACGATTTTTTTTTATTTTTTCACAATTTGTGGGCCACAATGTATTTCATTTTCTCAGCATTGGTCGGGCATCAGTCACTCTGGTGCTTCTTGTCATGGCAAGGATAACTAAATAAGCACTGTATCTCGGCGGACAGCCCAGCTTACAGGAGTTCACATCGTTTCACCAGAGGGGAGACTT